CTGTACTGATGCCCTCTTCGATGTTCAAAGAAGGTGTTCGTAATGGACAATTTGTTGTTTGAACAGAACCGCAACAATTTCATGCCGTTATTGTTGAAGTCGCTGGGGCTGCTCTCTGCAATCACGTCTTTTCACTTTTCTGCGTCTACTCCGACATGCATTGAAATCGCTCATGAAAATAAGGGACTCCGTATTCGGCTCTTCATGCAGAGCACATTCAACTTAGTCAAGGAAGGAGTCATATTCTCCCTTCAAATTTGGTGCGTGGGGTTGTTAGAAGGTCAAGGTTTCAATTTGTTGTTGCTTCATTCGGAGGATTGCCACTCTTCCGCTGACAGACTTCTATTCAGAAATTCTCTCAGCCAGGTTAGGTTCTACCATAACACCAATACCGGCCTGAGCGCGCGTATTGACACCTGAGTAAAGCAGGATCCACCGGTAGAGGTTCAGGATTCCAGAGCTTTGGCGCTTGGTTGACGAGAGTCCAACAATGTCGAGTTGGTACTTTATAGTCTCATCATCTAATTCTTGCTCTTTTCCTCTGAGTAAGGATATGTTCCAGTTTCCTGCTTTGAGCTCCCATTAGTGGTGTCGTTCTCGTGGAGCCTTTTCTGACGTGCTGTGATGGCATCGCGCTGTCTGCCTCCTCCGTTCAGAACGGGTAGCGACTCCGTTGCTGTGTGGTATCTTCGTCGTCGTTCCGTCGGTCTTCATCGGCCGTCGTTGTACTGCCACGCCCCCGGCTGGCAGAGGACAGTGAGCAGGTTCTGATCGCCGACTTTTTGCAGTCTGCCTCAATCCCTCAGCTGCATGCGCTGCCATTGGTAACCCGGTCGACGTCCGAGCCGGTATAATTTACGATAAGGTCACTGCCATGAAGGGCAGGTGTCGAAATTTTACGGAGACTTCGCCACGGTCTCCAATCCTCCTCCTTTCTGAACTGCGCTTGAGGCCGGCAACGGCGGTGTTGAGATCGTGTTATTATGGCAAATTTGTTTATGAAAAAGATGCCACTTGCGTATGAATTGGAATAGAAGAATTGAAGACAGTTACTCCTGCTTATCTTCCAATAGTTTGGTGCAGAACCCATGGAGAGGATAATTCTTCGAGTCTACCAGTATTCTCACGATTTGATACAAGTTTTAAAATGGACTGCATTTGGTAGCTAAAGGCATATTAAAGCAACAGCATAATTGGCAGAAAGCAGACATTTGTGACGATCATGAAATTTACTTGTCTTTAAATCTATTGAAAAATTAGTTTGCAGTTTAGGAGCCCAGCTTAGCAAATCTAGGGCCATTTATGGCAGATAAAGAGAGCAAGGATTCCTCTAAACACCGCCATAGATCTAGCAGTAAGTCTCATCACCATCATCGGCACCACCATCATCGTCACCAGGAACAAGTGAAGAAGCGAGGGGAAGAGAAACCAAGTACTTCAAAGGTTTTTCAAGGTCAAATTTATGGTATTAAATATTTCCGTATCTTTTAGGTCTTATCTGCTAACAAATGGGAAGATGCAGATTTGGGAGACGAGAAACGGAAAGAAAAGTTCCTTAAGTTAATGGGTGCAGCTAAAAAGGAACACAAAGGACGCTTCGTCATCGGCGATACGGATCCTAAAGATTCTGCTTTGCATAATCGCTCAAGTATGTTTATTTTGAAGTACGATTGCTTGAGAGCAAAAACTTTTAAAAAATCGAACTTATCGAATCGAAAGAGACATCCAAATTTTTCATAAATGAAAGAAGGCAGGCTATTCGTCCTAATGGCTTAGGAACGGCGCGAACGTTGTTTCTTTCTTTTTCTTACTGTCAGAAATCTGGGTAAACGTAGTCTGAGAGGAAATAGCGAGGGATATTTCTGTTTTTTCTTCATCATTAATTCTTTAGTTGCCGTAACAATTGTTCAGTTAATATTATTCATTGCCAACAGCTATTTATACCACTGTCGCGCAGAATAATTTTGTTGTTTGACGGTGGGAAGGGGGTCGAAGCATAGCACTTAAAACAGGCTTGGAAAAGTCCCACTTCCTATTAGATTTCAACCAAACCGTATTTCTTTGCTAGAATAAATATATACTTATTGGTCATTTTTTAATACAAATGCTTTTATTAACTTCTGTCCTGTTCGTCCGTAGTTTTTTATCGCTTGATAGTATTTTATATTTTCATTTTCAACAGCCATATTCTTGGAAAATAAGAGAAGGTAAGTTTAAAACCGTTGGAAAGTCGGTATTCCTTATATTTTCCTTTTATGAAGAGGCCATTTCTGGCGTTCTTCTGTTCATGAAGTTAATTGTGGTGTCCTGGTGTCCATTTCCACTCCATCTCGCAGGATTGTTGTTTTAAACACAAAGTGAACAACAGTCATGTGGATAGTATAGCTGGCAGTGTTCTGTTTCCTTCTCACAATGTGTTATTTATTTATCAACCTCGGAAGGAAGGTTAATCAGTGACCCTGACCTGACGTCGAATCCGGAACCTCTCCGGTTCTGAGTTCGGCGCTGTACTGACTGAGCAACCCCGGTTAATTCTAGAAGCCACTTATGTATAATTTGTCAGACGTTTCGAATCGCATTAGGTCCATCGTCACGAATCATGTCGCGCAAACAGTTTACCAAACACGTTTGTAGACTGCGTGATATGATCCCTGAATATGGATCCAATGCCATCAGAGACGTTGGCCAAATTATAATAACATGTCTATGTGTTTATATTTTGTTAGACATTGTCGCGATGAACAGCGAAGTCCACATAATGAATTTAAGTAATATTTTATTTTTAAATAATTTAATTTTGTATTTTGCTAAGCGCCTGTTTTTTCTGTGGCCCATTTGTCTCGATTAGGGCAATTTTCATTTTTCTGTCACATCCATGTTATATACATTTTTCTGTGTATATCCGTTGCCGTTTACCTGCTGTATTCAGCTGTGCTCTCTCTCGTACCGGTAGTTAGTTTCTGGATGATGCATGTCACGTATTTTGCATATTTATGTAATGTTCTTTAACT